GATAAATTGGAAAGTAATTCTCAATTAAATATTAAAAGCGCGAAGTTCAGCAAAGAAATCTCTTTTCAACAAGTTTGAGACACTTCATTGACATTTTGCAAATGCATTATCTACTGTATGATTCTTAAATTTTACTATGTTCTGTAATACATTCGATTGTCCTCACTTGTGTTCTCATTCACTATAGTAACACTGAAATAGTTTCATAAATGAAACTACTAATTTTCATTATTTCTGATTTGAAAAATTTTATAAATTCTAAACGAAATTTTATAATTGTAGATTATCACAATAATACCCTATGTTCGTATTGATTTCAACTATATCTTAAAAAGATAACTATGAAATTTTTGTTGCTTTTTCTCTTTCACAAGTAACATTTTAATTTATTCATAATAATTACATCAAAATATAATTGTGAATAGATAAGTTTTTTTATAAATCCATGTAAAGATTTTGTATTAAATTTGTTTGATTGATGGACATTAAAAATATAAATAAACCAAACTGATAGGTCCTGGGTTCGAATCTCACAGGGCGGGATCGTGGATGCGCACTGCCGAGGAGTCTCACAGTAGGACGAAACAGCCATCCAGTGCTTCCAGGTTTCCCAAGGTGGTCTAGCTTCAACTGACTCATGATCTCAAGCTTAAAATTACCATAACATCCACACAACCCATTCTGATATAAATCATAATCATTTTTTAAAATATCGGCTAAATTTTATTCTATTTAAATTTACGAATAGCTAAGGCTTCAATAAATCTGAGTATTTGTCCTTGACAATTTCTTTGAAACGTTTTAAAAGCTGTATTAATGTCAACTTTGTTTATACAAAATAATTTAACATTAATACTAAACTGATTGATAGATTTCAGTTACCAAAGTGGCGAAACTAGGTAGAACTTTGGTGATGTGTGGGTTAGAATGATAATGATTGGTTGTTTCCTTAGTCAAACTTGTAGATAGTCTGACAAGCGTTAGATGATTTATATACTCTCCTATCTTTATTATTATTGATTGTTTTTGGATTGTGTAGGCTTGTTGTCGGTTTTTAGTGTGGAAAAATATTTACGTTCTAGTCAGACTAATCACGTGTTCTTGATCTCAATTGTGTTGAATAGACACTGGGATAGAATCTAGTGTAGATATCCGTCTAAGGTAAATTAATGTCTCATTCGTGTAGACGAACAAAATTCGACTGTTATAACAATTGGTTAACTCTGATTGTTAACATCTCGATCATACAGGAATGGAATAGCTATTGATAAGTGGATCAGGCACTTCAACGAGGGATGTGATTACTTAATGAATGATTCCAGGCCAAAATGACCATTGACCAACACTTTTGACGAAAACATAAAGCGTGTGAAGTTTACTGTTTTTCTATTCCAGATACACGAAATGAATTTAAGGAAATCATCCAAATACTCAGTCCCAGAAAATGAGGCATTTGAATTGTTTGATATGAGAGGAGTAACAGAAATGGTTAAAACAGTGGAAATGGAGGTGGGCTTAGCGTATTATCACAAATATGAAGTAATATAAAAGTAAAGAAGACTGATTACCTTGAGTATTTTGAAATAATTCTTTGGTGACCAAAGTTTGTGTTATGCAGCACGTCATAGCTGTTATGTCACGGTGAACATGACAGCTAATACTGTCCAAGAATTTGAAAATCATCTTGTTCACGTGAAATGCCAAATACAGTTCGTCTGTCTTTAGGTGATTTAATGAAATATAAATTTTGTGCAAAGTCAAATGAATAACTAGCGAATCCAATAATTGACTCAACTACTTACATCATAGATCTTTCGAAATATACCCAGAAATACACACGTGAACTACTGGTTATTGTTCTGTTATACGTAGTTTAGCATCAATAAATTGGCTATCAGAAACTATAACAAGTGTTTTACTTTCACTTATTCCAGCAACCCATCTAAAACGAGGAAATAGGCTTAGTGAACTTCGCTAAAAGACAACGGATTTGAGAAAATCTGCATATTTATCTACTCTCACCTTTTAATGGTTACTTGGAAACCTTAAAGATTTCATGACAACAAGAAATCAATCTTTCATTTTTGGCAAATTATTACCACTATTAATTTTCTCATTACTTTTTTCTTTTCAGTTAAATACGTACACCAAATTAAAGGATCACTGTACCATCATTTGTCTAGTGATTTTAATAAATTTGTGTTGCCGCTTTCTTTGCTTCATTTTAGTTTATTTCGATACTAGATTGTGATTAAATAGACAAATAACGAAAGCTCACAAAGTAAAACTGTACTAATATTACTCGTTTCCGGTTGATTCTCTAATTAGCTATCGATTACCTTATCGAAACATCCGGTTGAATAAAATACTTCGTCAGTAGTTATGCGTGGGTAGCTGATCGATAACTAGGTATAGCCGAAGATTATTAGACACAGTAACTACATTAATTTTACTAATTTGGTAAAAATAACCATTTCACCATGATCTAGAAACCGAAAATTTTGATACGTAATTTAAAGTAATAACCTATCACTGGGTAGATAAACGCTCACTGATTTATCACGTACATATTCGCTGAGTGTAAACAATGTAGATGTTTTAGTAGTTTAATCGTTATGTCCAGCACAATGAATCTTGATACTTCAAATTGTAATGTGTAAAATTAGCTGTTCCTAAATTTATATAAACAATCATTTATCACAAGGTACGTAATATATGAAACGATGGATCCAATAATTAAATTTGACTTTTCGCGATATTTTATAGAACTAACATTTACAAGAACAAATTACAGCACATTTAACTGACACTATTATCATATATCATAGATTAGATCGGTTTTTATTTTAACTCAGTCACATTAGTTTATGCAATTTTATCCACATTGATGATTAAAATCCATAACTGATCACTTTCGGACGATTAATAATGTACACTTCTACGGGGAACTGGCAATCACTTGAATGAAGGCGGTAGAAGTTCTGCACATCGTTCAACAAAGTTTCAGAACCATACATTTTGTGTTTCCCAAAGTTTCTTGCTAAGTATAAGCATAGAAAATGATAGTGAGTGGATCTTATCATTTCGTTCTTTGATATACTAATTTTGATATATTAGTCTCCGTGCATTGAATAGTTAACTATTAATCTGATAGTCTCCTACACTTCTTCAATTCTAAACGACTTATCACAAATTTATTAAGAAAGACTGCTAACTAACAAGTTCATTGTGAATACTCGGTGCAGTCTAAATTAACTTGACAAATCCTAATTTCGAAACTTGAGTCTATCGCTTTTAAATCCAGATAAAGTATACCTATATTTTCGAAACATGATCATGAAAATGCCAGGTTTAACTAAAATCGAATGAACAAAAGTAAGCTACGTCATGGCTTTGTGCAGAGGATCAAGATCCTTCTATCGTAACAGCTGTCCAAAGTGGACCTTAGGTTCAATTCACATAGGTGTATGGTTTCGAAAACAGTGGTCAAGACTAACCTAAAGAGGGTAGTTTCTGGAAGGTCATATGTATAGCAGTGATCCTCAGTAACTGATAAAACATTGAGGAACACTCAAGAAGTGTAGACTGCAAACTCTCATTTTACAAGGCTTTATTTTTAGATCTCTGACCCCCTGCCTTAGTTTCACTTCTTCAAATTATGTTTAAGGCTCAAATGAGACAAGCACCAACTCTAATGCCTCTAATACAAATGGCCAACTGGTCCGTAAAATTAAGGAAGCATATGAGGGTCTCTCAAGAACAAAGCCATATATACCAGAACTTAAAGCTGGATTCAAAGCATATTGGATGCTGGGAACAACTTTCCCCAACCATTTTCCGTCATCTTAATTGCTATAATACTGTAGTGTTTTCGTAATAAATTTATTTCTAGTATAGGGGTTGTGGAGATTATTAAGTTTTTGATTGAGATCTTGAACCAATTGATGTTAGACCATCACAATTGAAAACCTGGATCTCAATAAATTTATTTCTCATGGAAATATCTGCCTCTCAAGAAAACTTAGATTTATACCGGAGTGCCCGAAGGACGTATTATTCCTATTGTCTTCACTCTTGCACATAGTGCTGAAGAATGCAGGAATCCAACCATGAGGGATTATCGTGCATTAGACAGTTAAATAATTGCGAATAGACACTCTATAACGCACATTCATGATTTTATTATCGAAACACATGGACCTACTGTTTTTTCTAAGATCTACTTAGTTGACAACGACTCAGTAAGATCGAAGTGACTGGTGTGTTCAAAAGCTAGAATAATCCATGTAGGCGTAACATAGTACTGCATACTATAGGAGAGAACGGCTAGACAAAGCGATGGCATTAGTTCATGAAATAATTGACCGTTGCTCCATTCCGTGTTTGTAGGCTTGGATAAATTACAATTAAAGGTTGGGAAACTGGATTGTATGGGTCGAAATCGGTTGGTAACGCAGATAAACTTGTTTTCTTTTTTTTCGTAAATATTTAGGTCATATATAATCTCATACCTTAATTCACATTCCGAACAGTGTCCTTTAAATTTTATTTTTCTCACTACCATCGATACTAATACTGTTTCGACTCGTTATTCATGCCGTTATTTTCATCTCAATGTGTTGATATGGTGTAACAATTTGTGCTGATGCTGGTTCATACTTTGACTGTGACTGAATGACAATCCAGTGCAAATTATTCATCAGGTACATATTAATGTATTCTGCATTGAGCCACACCGTGTTGTGTGAAGGCTAGTGAGACTGAGATTTTAAAACGGAAGTTGGTAATGTAGTTTTCGAACCTACGACTACATTTACTGACTTCAAACAAACAATTTTAACTTTATAAGAAAAAAAATATTTAAAATGCTAAGCGATGTTTGACCAAAATTCTATCTTAGAAAAAAACAACGATATGAAGTAAAAACGGAATAAAAAATATGTATAAAGAAAATATCAAATACAAATAGGCTTGGGCTTTCCGATAACCAACTTCTCATTTCATGCTGGTATTGTAATCCCACGGTCTTCATCTGTTTCTATACCTATATCAGACTGGAATAAAATGAATGACTGAAGTATATGTTTCCGATTAGAAACTATAAATGTACTGATATATTTACTTTACCTCAATAGTAAACCTGTAATTCACTGTGTTATTCATTTAAAGCAATAAAAATAAAGCAGATTAGAATTGATTAAATACGAATTTATCCTAATAATTCATTATGGATAACAATTCATACAGATAAACGGCCATGGGGAGATATCTCGCAAGTCTACCAATATGATAACAAACAAGCAAAAACAAAATGTCAATAACTCCATTCACTTGGTTGTCCTTTTCGTGCTACGTAATCCTATCCATTATGATTAGTTGAAGTAATATATAATTATTTCCATAGCTCACGAAGTGTAACAAAGATATTTCTTTATCGAAGCGAACCCATCCCGCTACAAAATTATTTCAATGTTTTAAATTTTTCTCACTCACAGTGGTATTTCTTTCCTCATTCTTTATCTTGAGTTACTAACTCATCTTTGGAATGTACTCCTTAATTACTCGGTCATAATTATTGATGTCATTGTTAGATATAGCCAAACACAACTTGAAGGACAACTTTCTATTGGTTGCGCTTTTGATGTTATGACTGATACCTTAACGCCAAACGAGCAAGGAGTTGTAAATACAGTGTTTATTTTGTCTTTCTTGGTCGTACCATTATTTAGTTTTGAGATATCTAGTTCACCCATTAGGCTAGAATCGTTGTAAGAATTCCATTGTCTTAGAAAAAACTATAACAACCTGCCGAAGTTTATCTACACCTTAATTCACTTGCAAATATATTTGAAAGAGTAATATCTATGTTGCTTCCTCCAAATTTCCTTTGAAACTTTGTTTTAAAACAAAAGAAATCAAAGTTTAGATAAGAACATAACACGAGTAAAGTGAGATCATTTTAAAAGCTAATGTCAACGCCTTATAACTCGAATTCATACGTGACCTTATCAGTTTTCATGTAGTTCATCTGTCCACATAAGAGAAGGGAATACTACAACTGAAGATCTAGAAGAATAAAAGTATGGTTTAAATGAGGCAGTTCCTACAAACCGTCAACTACAAAACATCGAAACGAACGGATATTTACTAATTTAAGTACTAATGTAAAACAGCAGTGTTTCATAGGGAAGGTAAAGTTTAAGATCCTACGGTAGAATAATACAAACTGGAGTTAGAATCAATCCCTACACAGTCAGTAACTCTTCAACAGCCTTTTGTATCAATCAGCCAAGCTGAACAGGTGTAACCAAGTTAAAATTTGACTTCCCAGCCACTGCAAGAGAAGTCCTACTCACTGCCTTCTCGTGGCATTACTGTTGTTTACGAAGTTGAGAGGACGAATGTCCGGCAGTTTACCCGGGTTGGTGGACACGGAGGGCAGTATCACAGCCCACACACAAATCAATTGACCTTTATGACGCATATGTATTCCGTGCCCCCTTTGTATCAATATCTCTGTGTTTAAATAAATAAATAAAACTTGACAATCAAATATGATAGATAGGTAAGACCTTTCAAAACATTTTTAATTGATAAGAATGAGTAGGAAACGTCCCACAACTTACCATTAACTGTTTCTTGCTGGAAGGATAACTTTCAGCCACAGCATCAACAATATTCATTGCCTGATAATTGAGCAAGAATCAGTAACAATGTTTAATAAATTAAATCATAGAGAAATTAAATAGTTCATCCAGAAATTACGATAATATTAGTGTCCAGTTCATTGTCAAAATAAAATTACAACTGTATAGAAATAACATTTCAGTATGTATTGTAAGAAAACACAGACAGTAGGTATGATTGACTAAAGAAAAAAAATTAGCAGCCATGTTTATAAAGTTGGCAAATCATTTAAGATAAAAAGTTCCAAAACGTAGCACATAACGGTAATCAAACTAGACAGGAGGAAAAACTCCAACTGTAAATAGAATAATAGACCAATACAGATATGATAAGAGACTAGTAGAAGTAAGAGGCTGTTACTCATTCATATGTACAAATTATTAAAAAAAGTTATTACTGTGCAGACTACTTACTATGACTACGTAGTATGGTGTGAAACAGAAAAAAAGACAGGTAGCGAAGAAATGAGCATTAAAACTAAGACAAACTATACAAATATAATTGTTGTAAGCCCAGTAAATGATATTCAGACAACAGTATTTTTAAAAAAATGTTAGAATTTTACAGAATTAATTCGATGCTAAACAAAGAGTGGCTTCTTCATGAAAACATAGCTGCAATTAAATATGTGTAGAATATGAAGTAATGATATAAACGTTCATTCCAAATTACAAACTTGTTTATGACAAATATACACTACCAGTGTAATTTTCGTCGGATAGTTATTTGGTAGATGTATCTCCATACATTAGATCCCAATAGATGTTTTCGCCATAGAAAACTTATCAACTACTCTAAAACACTTAGTGTCTGATAAATGTCGATAATGCAATGAGAAGATAAAGGTTATCAGAAGTATATGATATCTTTGTGCAATACACTTCGAACAATCTAACCACATATATACTTGTTAAGACATTTTATATGAAAAGATCAACAACTAGACAAATTAAAAGGTAAGCGGAAACAAAGATAATAATAAAGTATACAAAACAATGTGGAAACAAATCAGTATTATCAAGGTAGGCTTACGGTAGAAACAAATTGTTTTTGAACACATAAAAGGGGTTTCGGTTTCTGCATAACCGAGGTTTCAATAAACCTTAGGATATGTCGTTGAATGTTTTTGTACAAAACCACAAAGGCTGACTCGATGTCAACCTTATGACCAGTCTCAACCGAATGTTTCGTAATGGAGGAAGATATTTGTTTATCCTGTAATCTTATTTGACCATCGGAATTCATTTGTTTTTTGCAGCCAGTTAAGTACGTGTTTAGCCACAATTACTTGTAGCTGACGATTGCTCCTCTAAATGTATGTTTTTCCGCACATACATATAAATTGATACACCCAAAGTAATGTGACACAATCGCTTACATGCTGTTTGTGCTTTTGGTGAAACATGGACCTTGACTTTTCAATAATGGAGAAATGGGATGCATAAAATGTCCTATTGACAGCTAATTTAAGTTTTCGCTTCAACATGAGACTATTTGAGTCAACTCTAAATGGTAAAGAAACGAAGACTCACTTTTTGGGTGCCAAAAACATCATAGGTCTCATGGTATTGCAACTTTTCCAACGGCTTATACACTCCTACTGCTACTATAAACAACTATTCATTAATCTCAGAAACTGTTTTGATTCACCACTTTTACTCATCAGATAGTGAACAAATAGTCATTCTAAAGATATTATAAGGGACTACATAATTTTGTTATGTAAATCAAGTCGTATTTTACACTGATTTTAGTTGCAGGATAAAGATAGACTTGCAACTGTCTAATACTGCTTTATCACCGATTATTTTTTTATTGAAAAGTATGTCATTAAAAACTAATTTTTTGAATTCATTAATTCACTCTCCAAATAAAAGAAGATAGACAAAGGTTCCGGAACTCACGATACGCTTACGCTTCCTCCATTCGCTGATCATTTTCGTATGATTTTCAGAGACCTAGTAAGATGCAAACATACATACGTACACAAGCTTATCAACTATTTCAGCCGAAATAATGCAGGATAACTGAAAAATTAATATAGATTTACAACATAAAGTCATAACCAACAGGAAGCATTAGGGGGCGTAAATAATAGTTTCTCCAGTCTCGACAGGTCCCAAAATACAGGAGCGATGCTTCGAAGACACCTATCATTGAATACTAGTAACCTACGAATATTCTCTGTCCTAAATGGCCATGTTTCACATCCATAAAGTAGAACGTAACGAACTGATGGGCAGTAAACTCGTTCTCTGGTTGGTAGATGGATAGCTCTCCTACGCCACAAGTGACCCAAGTTGTAAAAAGTCAATCGAGCCTTTTGAATCCGTTGCCAAGACTTTGTCAGACACCAGACCATCAGGACTGACGAGACATCCCAAGATGAGTGAAGCAGTCGATTTGTTCGACTACTTAACTCCCTATCACTGATTCGGGCGATGATGCAAGCTAATCCTGACACAGTATATACTGATGGCGCGAGATTCTAGAGTCCTGGCTAAAAAAGCCTACTTTCCTGTCTGACACAAGGTTCGGACACTAAAAGCCCTAACGTGTAATTTAGGGCGTGATTTTAGGAGATCAGGAATTACTCGAATCATTAGCATTGGTGGAGCGTGGTAATAAAGACATATGAGAGAGGTTAGGCGTAGGGACAGAAGAATTATTCTGAGATGAGGGAGGGATTTGATCGTCAACAAGATGATCTCGAATGCTAATAGAAGTATGAGGGCAGTTGTCAGCTCCGGTTGCCCACACCGTGGAAGGATGTTTCTTCTTGTGGGACCTGAAAAAGGAGTTGATTTAGTAGTGGTCTTAGCGACCTGTGAGCGTGACCGCAGAACCCAAGGAACAAATACTTGAGGCCAGACGCGCACGGCTGGAATTAAGACGACTGTGGCTTTTTTACCTTCACCTTTACCGACATATTCTGATCATATGAACATCCACATTAAAAAAGTAGTGTTAGAGAAATATTTGTACAATAAGTTTAAGTGCACACTCTCACTCACCGAAATGTATAAAAAGATGTAGTATGCTGAGAAATAAATTATGTCTGATTGTAAACACGTTAGAAATCGCATCTGAACTAGTGCCCACATGATAACTCGAGTTTATTGTTACTAAAATGGTAATCGCTGTATAAATTAGTGGCTTTTATGTTCGTCTTTAAACAATAGTAACCAATTTTACTGTCATCAAAAATATTAGTGTTATTGGATGACAGGTTTGAGTGGAAAATGGGAGATATAAAACATTGTTCATTAATGAGATGTGTATGAATAATAAACATAAACCACAATTTTCTAAATGTAATTAGTCGCGGAAAGTCTTTTTATGGGAGGCTTTTGATGTGCTAGCCTTGCTCTTCAAGAGGTCTTATCGTCGTACGGGAATCCGTGGGGTAAGGTGGGGTGTGATATTTTAAGACTCGACCTTTTCTGACTACTTTCCGTTGTGATAAGACTACATCGCTGCAGATGCTGGTTGTACGAGAAAAACAATTTAGTGCTGTCACACCCCTCTAGCCAGTAGTATGACTTTGCCTTCGGTCCTCAAGTTACTGTTCTTAATAACGTTATCCAGCTGACCTCCTTGTCATGGTAGGACCTGAAGGAACATGTATTCCAGCCAATACAGATCGGTCGAGTCATCACGATAGGTAACCCTGATTGCCACGTCAAAGTAACAACTACGATCAGAGTTTATGACATATCTAAATCAATTACATCAAAGTGATGCAATCTTTGCGTCGAGTTAAGATTAATCACATTTTTATATCTGCTCTTGATTAAACGAAGAATACGTGAAAGAGCCTGAAGAGTAGGTAAATTGGAGAGTTTGATCTCAAGTATTACTTACTCACGTCTATTACTCCCAATGGAGCATAGGCCGCCGCCAGCATTCTACAACCCACTCTGTCCTGGGCCTTCCTATCTAGTTCTATCTAATTGTTGTTCATTCTTCGCATGTCTATCTCCATTTCTCGGCGTAATGTGTTCTTTAGTCTTCTTCTTCTGATCTGGCCTTGAGGGTTCCATGTGAGGGCTTGCCTTGTGACGCAGTTGGGTGCTTTCCTCAATATATGTCCTATCCACTTCCAGCGCTTCTTCCTGATTTCTTCCTCCGCTGGGATCTGGTTTGTTCTCTCCTACAGTACGTTGTTGCTAATAATGTCTGGCCAACAGATCTGAAGTATTTTGTGCAGACAACTGTTAATAAACACTTGGATCTTCTGGATGATGACTTTCGTGGTTCTCCAAGTTTCCGCCCCATACAGTAGAACCGTCTTGACATTTGTACTGGAAATTCTGACTTTGATGTTGGTTGACAGTTGTTTTGAGTTCCAGATGTTCTTCAACTGTAGATATGCTGCTCTTACTTCACCGATTCGCGCCTTCATATTTACATCAGATCCACCGTGTTCATCAATGATGCTGCCCAGATATGTAAAGGTTTTTACATCTTTCAAGTCTTCACCGTCAAGTGTGATTCGATTGATGCATGCTGTGTTGTACCGGAGAATCTTGCTTTTCTCTTTGTGTATGTCGAGACCTACTGCTGCTGAGGCTGCTGCTACACTGGTCGTCTTCTCCTGCATTTGTTGTTGCGTGTGCAATAGAAAAGCCGGATCACCTGCGAAGTTTAGATCGTCCAGCTGCATCCTAACTATCCACTGTATCTCGTGCTTCCCCCCTCTCAATATGTTGACGTTTTCGTAATCCAGTCGATCACCAGGAGAAAGAGAAAGGGTGAGAGTAAGCAACCTTGCTTGACACCGGTCTTTACTTCTTATGAGTCTGTGAGCTGTCCTCCATGCACGATTTTGCAGTTTAATCCATCGTAATGAAAATCTAAATTATTTCAGATTTTGTTATTCAATTCTAATGTGCAAAGGAGATATGTTTTCACTCATGAGAGTGGGTTTTTTTCATATCTTGTTAACGATAAACTATTTGAGTTAGACTGATGTCAAAACATTTCCTCTTGTGTTTATTAAATTTAATTGGTGACACAAAAAATATCACAGCACTCAAAACCATTCGAAAATCTAAGCACATTTTGAAATCTCTACTCCCAGAGATTGAATACTTCTAAAAATCCACTTGTCGATGGGCCAACATCTATTGAGAGGTTCATGGGTGCTACTTCGATGTTGTGTGGGTTCAGTGGGGCTGGTCGATTCGGGAGTTCTTTGAAGTGTTCTACTGACCTGTTTCGCTGTTCTTCAATGTTGGTGATAACTTTTACTTCCTTACTTTTCGCTGGTCGTTCTGGTTTACGACAACTCCCAGCGAGTTTCTTTGTTGTACCATACAATTGTCTCATGTTTCCCTTTCTTGCAGACTTTTCCGCCGTCACTCTTAAATCTTCCACATATTTAAGTTTATCGGTTCTGATGCTTCTCTTCACTTGATTGTTTACTTCTATGTATTCAGCTTGTGCCTTGGCTTTTTCTGCTCATGTTCGGCTGGTACTGATTGCTGCCTTCTTGTTCATATCCAATGTATCAACAGTGATCTAATCCTTGTGGTGATGCTAATTGTGGCCCAGAACCTCATGACATGTTGAAATGATTGCCTCCTTTATCCCTTCCCAGTTTCTCTCCATTGAGTAGATCGTGAAGAGCCTGGAGCCTATTGATGAGGGCTATCTTGAATTTGTTGAGTTTGTTAGTATCCCGAAGAAAAGCTGTATTGAACTTTTGCGATGTTGTCTGCCCCGTTGTCCAGAGCTTCTTAAGTTTCAATTTTCTCTTGGCGACCAAAACGTGATGATCTGATGCTATATAATCTCCTCCCTTGGTTCTCACATCCTCCAACGTCTTCCTGAACTTTTTGTTGATGCAAATATGGTCGATTTGGTTTTGTGTGGTGTGATCCGGTGAAGTTCATTTGGTTTTGTGTATGCGTTTATGTGGGAATATGGTGCCGCCTATGACCAGTTTATTGAAGGCACGTAGGTTTGCAAATCTCTCACCATTTTCGTTCCTTTGGCACAGTCCATGTCGTCCCATGATGTCTTCGTATCCGGTGTTGTCCATCCCAACCTTGGCATTTAGGTCTCCTATTAGAGTCGATGCAACTCCTTGTGTATGTGGGGTATTTTCTTCTACATGACCGGAACCCGACCGTTGTTGCTACCTTGACGAGGTGGTCGGGCTTGCCTATCGTGATGAAGCAACCGAGCTATACTGGCCGGAACAACCGTTCCTCAAGGTCCTACCATGTCAGACAGGTCGGTTGAAGAGCGGTAAGACTAAAAGCAACAAAACCAAGGTCCGAAGGCGAAGTCGTACTACTGACTGTACAGAGGTGTGACAGCAGTAAGGTGTTTCCTTCAGACACCCAGCATGACAGCGATGCTGCCTTCCCACAAGGAGGGGTGGGGTTAGAAAAGGTCGACCCTAAGAATGCACACCTCGCCTTATCCCACGGATATCCGTCTCCGGCGGTAAGGTCTCAACAAGTACGGAGCTAACACAAAAATTGCCCATAAAAAGGTCGTGTGTGACCGACCTCAAGCAGTTGTCCCTTGAGCACTGCGATCACGCACCCAGGTCACTAAGACCACCTCTAATCCAGTTTCCTTTTCAGGTACCTCCAGAAGAACCCTTCCACGGTGTGGGCAACCGGGAAATGACAACCGCCCTCATACCTCTAACAGCACTCAAAACCACTGTATTCATAATCAACCTCCGTCTTCACTTCCTATTAATGCTCCTACATCGACTTTCACATCTAAACTTCCTTTTTCGGCTTCCCCCTCAAGTGTCACCATAGCCAACGATTCTAGTGCTAAAAACACTGTCCCAGGTCTACTGAAACCTCGCTCCAAACTACACATTGGAGCCTTCAACGTACGCACTCTATGTCAAATCGGTCAACAGGCTTCCCTGGCTAGAACCCTAGAATCTCGTACCATTGATATATGCTGTGTCTCTGAAACACGCATA